TCTTTTATTTTGATTATTAGTACCAACAATGAATTTTCAATGAGTGTGAGATATTTTCATACATGAACTAGAACAAGTGCTAGCATATGAAATAAAATATAAACCATTAAATTTACTCTTTAAACTAGCATTTTCAATCTTTAAAACATTAATTTTATTATAAAGAAAATCAACATTATGATTCCAATTAGAAGATGGAATTTGATAATAAATCATTTTATAAAATTGTATTTTAGTTTCTCAAATCCTAAACTTAGCATAAAAATCATCAAGATAAATAAAAGAAAGTGATAGAAAAAAAAAAACAAATGAATCATTTATTTTGATTTTCAGTATAATTTCCTTTTTTTCTAATGAAAAATAATATATTTTTCATGCATTTTTTTCATAAAAAGCATGAGAGATTCATTTTTCTTCTTTAAAATGTAAACTAGAGTTTTGCAAGATTTTGATTTTCATTTTGTATGCATTTTTTTTTTCTTTTTATTTCTCAAATTCAAGGCAATTTTCATCTAAATCATAAGAGTTCGTCATATGAAATTTGATTTTGAAATGAGATTCCAATTTGGTGCATGATAGTGTGGGCAGTGCCCATATTTTTCCTTTTATTCTTTTTCTCCTTTAAATTGAACTACAAAGGAATTTAATTATTCTTTATTCTCTTTTTCCCTTCTTTTTGTTTTCTTATTTTCCTCTCTTTTGTATGTTTTTGTAATTCTTTGTTTTGTGACTTAATGACATTCTCCTTTAAGGTCATCTTTTCTTCCTCAAACCTTCTTAAATTATGTAAGTGAAATTTAATATATCAAATATCTGTGGTAAATCATCAAGATAACTTAAATATATAATGTGTCATTAAGATCTTAACACTTAATCTATTAAGCCAAATAGAAGAGTTAAAGTTACTATTGTAATCCCAACTCATTCACTCAACAAGTAGGTGGAGAAATATTCACACTCTCACTATTACAACATGAATGAGTGATATTTAACCACATATTATTAACGGGCTTGAGAACTCAAATATCAAATACAAAATTAAAATTTCTTGTTAAAATTCTCTTGAACTTTGATCATGACAAACAAGATCACTAACTAATTAATTTAATATTTGTAGTGCCTAGTATGCTACCTTGAAGACATTCAATGTAATTAAAGATAACATACAAAAGTATGAAAACCTAAAATTTAAAAGAGAAAAGATATGACCACTAGAAGGCCTCAAGGAAGTTTACAATAAATTAAATGATCCTTTTAAGATTCCTCTTGATTTCTCTTCAAAAACAATAAAAACATGGTAACCTTTTGTATTTGAATTATCTTTAAGCTTGAACATTCCTTAGCATCCCTTAAATATAGACAAGAAACTCTCCTAAGAAGTCTTTCCCAAAGTCCTCTCCTTAAATAGTCACCTACAGCCCAAAGGCTATGAAGTCACTAGCAACTTTTAGTCATCACTATTGAAATTCTTCACACAAGTCCTTGATAAGTCTAAATAAGGCAAAATTACGTGCGGTCACCGGATGCCGTCTAGGGGTCAATCAAAATGCATCATATCATCAATACGTTGTGTATCATTATTGTGTACCACTGTGTATCAAGTGACGTGACACATCTTAATTTGCCCTTGGACAATCCAATGACCGCACTTAATAATCTCTCATGACGAACTCCAACATTTGTTATCCAAGCATGAAGCAATGGATTTAGGATGGAGTTTTGATAATCACATGAAAATTTTCATTTTGTCATATAACTCTATATATGATTTTGTAATTAACTAAATAAGCCTAATGATATCAAAATTTAATTTTGATTCATAACATATGATATAATTATATATTTAATCATAATTAGGATGTGATAGATGGAATTTATAAAATGATTGAAACATATAAAACCACGTATATTTTTGTAATATGAAAGCTTCTACGGTTCTACCTAAAAAATTTTGATCGACCTATCATTAAGTCCATTTTTTAATGTGAATAAGGGGATATAAGTTATGATGGCACTTTTATTTAATCATTCCGATAATTTTTTTATGATGATTCTTCTAATCTCTTTTATTTTAAAGATGACAATCCACATATTGCTATTATAAATAAGTAACGATGCAAGTGTCTAGGATTAATAGCTAAACGGAAAATACTACTTAAGAATCTCTCCCTTATTTTGGTAAACCTAAAAATATGTGAGCTGTCCTCAATCATCATCTAATGGGCAATGCATCATTCTATGAAAAGCTTGGTTAGGTTGGTAATAGTTTAGGGTTAATTTTACCAAAAAAGTTAGTAGAACAAGGTGTGAGCCCATCCTTTAAAAGTTGTAAGAACAACCTAGCAAAGGACTATATTTGAAGTTTGTTAAGACTACTTCATGGTCCTATAATGTTATTTGTGCTCATAAGGATTTAATTATGGTTTACTTATTATTGCAGACTGGAACACTTACGACGATAGAGAGATAAAGAACTTAATATCTAGCTTTGAACGAAGATCCAACACATATATAGATAAAGAGAGAGTGTGCGAGAGTCATAACATACACCCAAATTTTTTCATAGAAAATTTTGAAAAGGGGAAAAATCAAGGGGCCTGACCCAGTTAAAATGATTTCACAATTTTTTGTAGTCAATTACAAATGATGTCTTTCTTGGGGGTAAAGCCTTAGCTCAATGTAGCATATAGAACACATTACATATTAGGGGTTGGAAGAATCCAATGATAAGGAAGTCATTCTCAAGAGAACATTGACCTATTCATTTGGTTGGCAGGATGACAGGGGTCAGAGGGACAGTAGTTGACAAGCAATGGAGGTCAGAGGGACGGTAGTTGGTGGGCGATAGTGGTTAGAGGGACTGTAGTTGGCGGGCGATGGATATCGAATGGACTGTAGTATGCGGACGATAGGAGTCGGAGGGGCCGTAGTTGACGGGTGATGGAGGTTAGAAGGATTGTAGTCGACGGGCAACCGTGGTCTGAGGAACCGTAGTTAGCATGCAACTTTGGTCAGAGGGATCGTAGTTGACAAATGACAGAGATAAGAGGGACCGTAGTCTACGGGTGACGGAGGTCGGAGGGACCATAGTCAGAGAAATTATAGTTGGTGAGTGATCGAGGTCAGAAATACTATAGTTAGTGGCGATGAAGGTAAGAGAGACAATAGTCATTGGGCGATGGAGGTTGGAGTGGCCATAGTCGGTTTGTGACGGTGGTTTGAGGGACCGTACTCGGCGGCCGAACGGTAGTCCAACGATGGTCGGGCGGTGATTGGACGGTGGTCTGAAGATGGTCAAGTGGAAGACCGATGGCGATCGGTGGCCGGGCGGTGGTCCGACGATGGTGGTGGTGCTGGAACTCTAGCTTTAGAAGTCTTAGAGATCTCTCCAATCTTTAGTCAAAGGTCACTCCATCTAGAGAATGGGGGTCTATTTTTAAATTTTTGAGAGTGACATACCAAATAAATATGGAGAAAATCTTGGGCATATTTGGAGTGCTCCATTGGATGATCCATATTGATTCTATCAATCATAGAACATTTTTTAAGCTTTTATGTGCCCAAATGATATCATAATTAAGCAATTTTGGGCTAGTTGGATTCTTCCTATCGATACTCTATATTCGACTATAAGCATGTTATATTTGTATATCATTTGATTATCCAATTTAGGCTTTGAACCTTTCAAATAAGCTTCGTCATGCCGATTTTTACCCATTTGGGCTCGGGTTGACCGATTTTGGTGTCATTGGGTTCATCTCTTTGAGATGTTTAGTTTGACTAAAAGTTTATTGAAATTGGAGTTCAAAAGATCCCAAATTTAATTTGGAAGTTTCAACTTGAATATGCCTCTAGATTCGTGCACGATCAAGACGATTTTTGGTGACATGTCACTCATAAATATTAATTACAAGTAATTTGTAACCCGACTAGGATAAGATGTTGAAGAATTACATCAATTAGTGGTGAATATTCTTGAAATTGACCTTGCAGTAAGCTGATCTATTTCCCACTTATGAGATTCTTTCTAAACAAAGTATCGAATCTCATTTTTTATAACAATATCAGGGCATCAATAAGACAAGGTTGATTTAAGTTTACCAAGACTTCTAGAGGATGAAGAGTATATGGAGCAGAACAAGAATGATGAGTTGAATAGTCAATATCCTAGAAACCTTGGTGAAGCTGTGGCGGAGGGGGAGCTATAGTATGATGAAGAGGATACACTACAATTGTGACATCAAATTAATTTTGTAGTGGGAGAAAATATTTTGATATGATAGTGTTCTTCATTATACACATATTATATGATGTTAGCTTCATTTAGTTATTGGTAAATTTAGCTAGCCATAAAATATTCCATCGGATAGTCCATATTACTTATCTTGATCATATATCCTTTATTTAGCACTCTAAGTGGCTTAATGGCCTCAAAGTTGAATGATGTTAGGTTCGTTAAATTCCTCTCATTGAAATGCTCGATTTAGCGATAAGTATGCAATATTTGAAAGTCATTTGATCTTCAATTAATGCTCCAACCACTTTAATAACATTTTAAGTTATTGATTTTAACTTAATTAGACTCAAATGAGATTCTTTTTGTATTGCTAGGCTTATCTTGCTGATACATTTAATTTGACTATAAATTGATTAAAATCAAAATAGTATTAACTATCTTATTTTCAAAAAAAACAAAAAAAACAAATATTATATCAAGATCATGGTCGATCATCATTTTTTTACCATGAATAAGTTTTTAATGATGCATCAATTAATTCAAACAAAATTGATTAAAAACTATTATTATTATTATTAAAATATTAAGAAAATAGCAGCCAAAAAGCTCGTTGCTATTCTGCTATTCTCTTTACTTTCCATTCGAATCATTACCAAAGCAAAAAAGAAGCCAAGAAAATCGAACCTGGAAGGAGCATCCAATTCCCTCCCCCACTAAACTCCACCACCTCATCACAAGAACAAAAAGAACCCAAAGCAAAATCAAATCCCTCCAATTCCATTCATGTAATTAAGAACTCCAGCAGATACTCAGATTCTCCACTACCCAACCTGCACAAATCAACTGCTCTAATCATCCAAATAGCCCGGAGGAAAAAATTAACCACCAAATGTTTTGCCGTAGCAGGATCGAGCCGTGCGGCGTTTGCGGCCACCGCGTCCTCGTGCCTCCCCTCTCCTCCACGCTCTACTGCAACGCTTGTCATACGACGACGAGCCTCCAGAGCTCTCATGACTCCGCCGCCCGTCCCCGTCATGGCCTGCTTCGACACGCGAGGGGATGGCTGAGAGGCATGTTCTCTAATGGAGGATTTGGGTCGACTGGATCAGTCGGATCTTCGTCGTCTGACTACCGGCAATTGGTACATGAAGACAGCGGTCGGTCTGCGATGAGCTGGCCGGCGAGTTTTCCGACTGATCGAGCGAAGAAGAGGGCGGTGCTGGTCGGCGTGAGCTATAGTTTTAAGTCGTATCAGTTGAGGGGAACCGTTAATGATGTGAAATGCATGAGATACTTTCTCTGTGAGAAGTTCCAGTTCCCTAACGATAGCATCCTGATGCTTACTGGTAATAGTACGCACTATCTCGTAATTTATTGGATGAGAATAATTGGTTTTGAATATTTTGACTTAATTTTTGTTAGAATGATCTTTAAAAATAAATAATTGGCTATTCATTTTTTTGGCTGTAAGCTGTCCCAATTTGCCTTCTTTTGATCTCGGTGGATTTATCTTTGGGTTTGTTGGAAGCGCTATGATGAATCTCAAATTCTCAATTAGTAAAGAAGTTATTATGGAACAATTATTACGTTCTCCGACCGGATGCAGAGGAACGTCCGGTCGGAGGTCAAATTCCGCCAAAAAACGAGTTGTACCGAGCAAATACCGAGCAATACCAAACAATAACGAAGAATACCATCATTTGAAGACCCAATACCGAGTTATACCGAGCTAAATCGAGAAATACCGAGTTATACAAAAGTTGTACCGAGTTTTTCCTAGAAAAACTCGGTTCAACTCGGTATTTCTCGGTACAGCTCGGTATAACTCAGTATTGGTCTTCAAAGAGCGGTATTTCTTGTTAATATCAAATAATACGTAGTTGTACCAAGCAAATACCGAGTTTTTTTATGGGATTTTGCCTCCAACCGGACGTTCCTCTACGTCCTTACACCGGACGTAATAAAAGTTTTTATGTTAGGCATCCGGATCAGAACAATTGTTTGGACTGTGAGTGCATATATTATGTGTACATTGATTTGTTATACATTGTATACAATATATATATATATATATATATATATATACAGTGTGTACACTCACATATCCAAACAGTTCTTCTCATCCGGACGTGGAACGGAATAATTTCTTCAATTAATGCCAATTTTGAAACAAGATGTTCAATTTGTTTCACATTTCAAAAATAAATTGCTTTTATAGATACTACACCTTATCACTTTGAATGACAGTTTTATTAATTTTGCCCCTATTTATCCCAATTTTATGGGTTATATTGAGCTATGTTATTTTATGATTTTATGTATATTTCTTCTTATTATTCAAAAGTTTGTTTTAATATTTTATGTTATAATTATTTTATCTTTTTATATATAATATTTTTAGGGTTTTTTAAAGGAGTATGGTGTTAATTTAAATTAGGAATACGAACAAAATATTAAAATTTTTTAAAAGAAGCAAATTAGTCAAATTATTTAGCACATTCTAAAAAATGAATCAAATAATTTGGTGCATCCAGAACTAGCCAAATCATTTAATGCACCAAATGATTTGACTAGTTCTTTAGAACGCACCAAATTGTTTGACTTATTTTAAATACGTCAAATAGTTTGGTACTTTGATATAATGCATCATTTTGTTTGGCTAATTTGCTTTTTTTAATTTTTTTTAGACTATGCATCATGCTCCTATTTATAATATTTTGATATTTTTATAATTTTAATTTGGTAATGAAAGTTAGATGTAACTCTCAATTTAAAATAATAATAATAATAATGGTCATTTATTTCATAATTGTTGTTTTACTGGTTATATATAAAGATAATAGTAAGTTATTATTTCATAAAATTTAGAGGGAATATATTTAATTTTTTGAAATTACCTAACGGGATTGTAATCAGGAGGCTTTGAAATTGGACTGAAAGCCGTTGTCCGTATTTTGTATAACGCACCCGCCTTCTTTGCACTCCCGGCTATGTTTCCTGTTGTTTTAAAATGCAAAACCCTAGATTCCCTTTCAGTCCTCCGACCGGTGATGGTTGCCGATCTGAATCCATTGTTCATGCCCCCACGCAGAGGAGGAGCGAGACCCGAAAAGGGTACCGACGAAGGAGAACATTCGAGCGGCGATGCGATGGCTCGTGTGCGGCAACCAACCTGGCGACTCACTCGTCTTCCATTTCTCCGGCCACGGCTCGCAGAAGCTCGACCTATCAGGTGACGAGGTCGACGGCTACGCAGAGACTCTCTGTCCTGTTGACTACGAGGATAAAGGGGTCATCCTCGATGACGAGCTCAACGCCACTCTCGTCCGCCCACTCCGTACAGGCGTCAAGCTCCACGCCATCATTGATTCTTGCCACAGCGGCACGGTCCTCGACCTCCCCTATCTCTGCCGGACGTCCAGGTAACTTTTTGTTAATGGAATTTGAAAGTTGAAGTACTCTGATTAGGGATTTCGTATGGTTTGGGACTAGGGAATCGCGGGAATACGGGGCAAGGGGAAAACCGAATCAGTTAGCATGGGGAAACCGAATCAGGTAGCAAGGAAAAAAATCCCAAGCAGCCGCTAACCTTAGGGAAGAAATTGGCCAAGCTCAATAAGGAAAAACATATCAAATTAATTACCCAACTAGCCACCAAGGAGTAAGGGAACAAGATCAACACAAGTGGTAGGAAAAAAGGTGTGAACCAACCTGAGAGCATTGAACCCAGCATTATCATGAATAGTTTTCATCATAGGTCTACAAAATAAAATCCATAACGTTCAAAAAATAATAATACATAAAATGTAAAATTATTGTCTGCATCAATTATCAACAATCTCATTAATATTCATCAAATCTCTAATCTTAGAATTAACTTATTCAAAAGCGATTTAATCGACATATCTATATGTAGTCTTTACTTCTAAGAAAGTTATTAGAGCCAGAAGCTTGGTTGTTTCCATTAACACTTAAACCTCATCTGTCAGGTATAAATGTATCACAAAAAGTGTCTTTTCATCCTTGTTCACTCATGATCTTAGGCATGTCGGCACACGAGTGTCTTCATAAGTTCCTACTGGACCAAAGCACTACAGTTTTTAATTCTTCAAAAGATCTTCATCTTGAATATCTTGCCTTTGACATTTTGGAAATCCCAATTACACTCAGGAGCAAAGAAAAAGCACAAGATAAATGAAGAAAGTAGCCAAAAATCTCACAAAACATAGTTTAACTTACACAACAAACTTTCTTCTAGCATGCACCGTGGAGCCTCCTATATCCTCCAAGAACCATAGCGGAGGGTATATAAGGAGCAATTGAGATCTTCAGGATTAGCATGCTCCATATCCTAAAAGAATACCTCAATTTGGACTTCGAGAAGTCTTGCGGTGGCAAATCCTGTATGGTTTAGAAGGGTGGTATATAGTAATAATTTCTTTGGGTAAAGAGAGAATAACATGTCAACATATCATAATGCTCTGTTTTTTCTTTTTTTATATCTAGATATTCAGGATTTATGTGCTGTAAGTTGTTCCTGTATATGGTTGATATAATTGTCTTCTAAGTTCTTTTTTTTCCTTCTGCAGAGGGGGCTCCTTTCAATGGGAAGATCATACCCCAAAATCAGGTGCATTTAAAGGGACTTCTGGTGGGTTGGCTATATGTATAAGTGGCTGTGATGATAGTCAATCAGCGCAAGACACTCAGGTAAGATCATCAGTCTATAGCTAGTGATTATTAATATGCAGTGAATCACAACATAGATCTTGCTAGTGATATCTAAGTGTTGAATTCATTATAATAAACTATCACTAATGCTTACTTAAAAACTTATTGTACTTCTTAATGTTGTAAAGTATTTATGATGAGGTAACAAATAGGTATTTTGCCCATGGTATCTACCCATACTAATCAACAACAACAACAACAATAACAACAACAACATCAAGCCTTTATCCCACTACGTGGGGTCGCTACATGAATCCTTTTTCTCCATTGTGTCCTATTAAAAGTCAAATTCTCGTTTAAATCTAATAAAGAAAGGTCATTCCTAATATTTTCTAACCAAGTCTTTTTAGGTCGGCCTCTACCTTTCTTAACATAAGTCAAATCTAATACCTCTACTCTCTTAACTGGGTCGTCGGAAGGCCGCCTTTTTATGTGACCAAACCATCTAAGGCGACTCTGTCTAATCTTATCTTCTACTGGAGCTACTCTAACCTTTTCACGTATATGCTCATTTCTTATCCTATCTCTAAGGGTAAAGCCACTCATCCACCTAAGCATCCTCATCTCTGTAACACTTAACTTTTTATTATGCTTCTCTTTTAATGGCCAACATTCGGCGCCATAAAGCATTGCAGGCCTCACTACCATCTTATAGAATTTTCCCTTAAGTTTGAGGGGTACATTTCTATCACATAACAAGCCCGATGCATTTCTCCACTTCAACCATCCAACTTGAATTCTGTTGATAATATCCCCATCTATTTCACCATCACTCTGAACAATAGATCCAAGATATCTAAAACGTGTACTCTTATTAATGACTTGATCGCCCAAAGTCACAATCCCCTCACTAGGACTATTACTGCTAAAATTACACTCCATATATTCCGTTTTATATCTACTCAAGCGAAAACCTTTAGACTCTAAGGTTGACCTCCATAATTCGAGTTTACCTTCAACTCCCTCTCTAGTATTATCAACAAGAAGAATATCATCAGCAAAAAGCATACACCAAGGTACATCCTCTTGCAAATGTCTAGTGAGAACATCCATGACTAAAGCAAAAAGATATGGGCTTAAGGCTGATCCTAGATGTAACCCAACCGAAATAGGGAAATACTTAGTCAAACCACCTTGTGTTTGAACACAAGTAATAGCTCCTGCACACATATCTTTAATGATTTGAATATAAGCATTATTAACTCCTTTCTTTTTAAGAACTCTCCAAGCACTTCTCTTGGAACTTTATCATTTGCTTTTTCTAAATCAATAAATATGTACCCATACTAATGATGTGCTATATTTTGATGTTACTTCCCTAGAATACTTCATTTTCTCTTGCCTAAGCATTAGTTAATTTTTGGGAGCTCTCCATATTAATAACAATGATATTCATGATCGTGGACTTGGGACCTTTCAAAATTGGTGCTTGTTTGATTGGCCATTATAGCAAAACAAATTAACCGGTGAATATGGTACACACTCTTCCTATCCTTGTAAAACCAAAGTTCTTTTGAAGCATCAAATCCCTTTGTTTCTGATATCATATGTTGCTTCCTCCCAGTTTCTTCAAATTGCAAAGTACGGTGAATAGGTCAAATATAAAGTGTAATTAATTTATTGCCACTCAATTAAGTTAACTGATACGGAATTCCAATATAACAATTCTCACCATATTCATAAAAACAAGAGAGGCTCTATTGGAAGGATTCAAAAATATAGAATGTTTAGTACTGGTCTTATATCTAACACAAAAGTTTTAAGAATTCACCTAACAGTTTTAATATTTATGAAATGCATCATGAAAATTAATCTTAATCATTCAAGGAATCCACTATACCAAAGTGGCAGTTTTTGGAATCCATTTGATTCTCTCAAACTATCTTTAGATTATCTTAAGCTTTGTTTTAATTATCTACTTAAGTCATAACCAAATGGCCATAATTTGACAAAAAAGCATCTAGAAGTCAAATTTGAGAAGATGCTTTATTGGCATGATTATTTCAATCAGAAACCAATCCTTAATATATTTGAAATATGTTAATAGAAAATTCATCATATTGACATTGATTAATAGATAATTATGAAGGCACCACATATTGGGAAGAATCATGTGGTCTCAGCAATGATGTTACAGACTGATTAAGTTTTAATTCGAAAAGTGTTAAAGAACAGTCCTATATTCTAATAAAAACTTATCTTCATGCATGTTAAAAGCAAAATAACGTTAAAGAAGAATGATATTATACCACAGAACAAAAATTATAGATGTTTTTTCATTAGCTTATGAGATTATGGAAGAACTCTCAAAACTATGAAGAATATTAGGGCAGGTCATTATGTAGAATCTAAATAGAATTTGTATCATGATTTTAGAGTAGAAAGTTAAGTATGGGTATTGGGTTCTATAGCTAAAAGTTGAAACTTGGTTCTAGGTGGATAAATATGCCATATTTTATTGTGAAACACAAAAAATTGTTGCAGGATGATCATAAAAGAAATAGAAAAGATTATAAAGAATTGAAAAAAAGATGAACATATTAAAAAATAGTTATCTGATAAGTTAGCATCATGCTTCATGCACCTTATCAAGGATCAAAATTCTAGAATAGATGAAGAAGGATCTTCAATTCCACAATTAAATTTTATTCATACTATAACTACATCCTAAATGCCATTGAATACATATATTTATAGATGCAAAAAGATCAACAATTGCGAATAAATTTTTAATAAATTGCTATCAAATTATTAATATAATCATAGAGAATTAACTCTCTCATCAAATAATGAAGTGACTATAAGATAAAAAATGCATAAAATGACTTAACTAACCACCATAATTGATGCCCTCATCAATTCTCTTGCTATGTAATACCAAAGAGTAACGAAATGATACGGGAAATAGACATAATTCTCCATCAACTAGTGATTATTGAACTATGAAATATAATTCTATTGACTTGAGGATGATGTGATCTTGGAAGGAAAACGAACTCAAGTCATAGTGGTGTAACAATCGACACCTTGATTTATATTTATAACTTTGATGAAAATTTGAATCCCTTTAGCTTAAGAAGACAAGCGTCCTTCACTTTTTTTTAAAAAAAAAATTTCTCCTTAACATAAGAAGCCTTTGTTTTCCATTAAAGGGCATTGAGATGAGTGCAGAACTCGTGTGAAACTTAAAAGAAAAAAAAAATTATGTTATTATTTTCGTGACCAATAATTTTAAAGTTCATAGAACATTAGCAATTCATTATTGCACATTGCTGGGAAAATAATCTGGAGTTTGATTTGAGTTTACGTACGGCTGGTTTGGTTTATTTTTTTTGCATTAGAGAAGTTTGTTTGGAATAGGATTAGCATATATTTAAAATTTTAAGATTTGTTGCAGGTTTGTTGAAGGAAATCAAGTTTGAGGTTTAGGAGATAAGTTGTAGGTTTTGTTGGGAATCGAAATTGTAGTTTATATTTCAATAGGGCTAATTATGTGGAGATTTGGTGGATTTGTGTTAGGTTGTTGGATAAGAGAGAAGAGGGCCATGAGGGGTAACAAGGGGTCATGGTGGGTTGTAAATTCACAGGAATAATTTAAAAATAAGAAAAAAAAGCTCATTGGAACCCAAAAAAGGTAAAAAATAAAATGAATTTGATTTATGACAGGAATCGATCATATAAATGATCCAAAATTATAGCTTTGATATCAATTAGTTGCAAGACAATCACGAAAGAACCAAATAATATGGATAAGCTGAAAATATTAAAAAATAATAAGATATGAGTAAGTCTTATGTGAGAACATGGAGATTGCCTTACAGAAATTTTCAAATTTTCGCATTTACAATGTGAATTTTATCATGCTGAAAAATTGTCTTACATATATTAATAATTGTATGAGTGATAAATTGCTAACAAGTAACAAACTAATGACTCAGACTAAATATCTCTAAAAATATGAAATGTCCAACAACAAGCTTTTATTCCACTATATGGGGTTGACTGCATGAATTCTTTTTCTCCATCATGTCCATTTAAGAGTCAAATTATCATCAAATCTAATAAAGAAAGGTCCATGAGATAAAAAATATATAAGATAATTTAAATATCATAAATAAAAATCTGAATGCATAAAGCATTCCTAAATACTACAAGATAAGATCAAAGTCTTAATTTAATTAAAGTTTATTTGCTGCAGCATAATGTCCAAAAGCAATGCTTTCATAGATTTGGCCTTGATTATGCTGTGTGATGCTCAACTATGATTCATATTTTAGCTTTGGAATTGTGAACTGGACCCCTTTAAATATAAGCTTAAGAACCTACCTCCTTCGTTGATAATGAATTAACAAATTTTGACGATACCCTTAGATTTCCCATTCTTGAGGAATAAAGCAGCGAGGAAACTCTATCAAGTTTGAAATACTATTTTAATGTGGACTCTTAACCCTAGTTTCTAGCACAAAGCTTGTGAGCTCTTGAGAGAAAAAGAAATATGAACAGATGGAGAAGGCCAACTAATGAACCTTACGTTGAAGCTTATTTGAACCCTTATTGGTCATCATGTCTGTTTGGAGTTGTATTTAGTTTTGATTCTAAGTTGACTAATTTTCCAATAAGTGTTAATCCTGTTAGCTTTGTTTGGTCATCTTTGCTTTATTATTCATGATTAACCTAGCTCTCCTTGTCATTATTGTTTCTATCTTTTGAACAATAATAATTTCTTTGATATATTTTCTTGCCCTATCATCACTCTTTCTTTAGCATAACAATTGCTCACTTCACCCTTCCAACTTACCATTAACTTACCATTAAGGGCCTATTTGGTAGCAGGATTTACGTTCGAGTTATCCAGCAACAATAACATTTAAGTATTTATCCCACTACATGAGATTAGCTACATGAATCCTTTTTCTCCATTGTGTCCTATTAAAAATCAAATTCTTATTTAAATCTAATAAAAAAATGTCATTTCAAATACTTTCTACTCAAGTCTTTTTAGGTCTATAACTCTACATCTACCTTTCTTAATGTAGGCATAGTCTAATACGTCCACTCTCCTAATCGGGCCATCGAAAAGCTGTCTTTTTATGTGACCAAACCATATAAGGCGACTCTGTCTAAACTTATCTATCACTGAAGCTACTCCAACCTTTTCACGTATGTAACCATTTTGCATTCTGTCTCTAACAACACTTAACTTAATTTTTTGTTTCTCTTTAAATGGTCAATATTCTACGCCATAAAGCATTGCAGGTCTCACCACCATCTTATAGAATTTTCCCTTAAGTTTGAGTGGTATTTTTCTATCACAATAGTCCCGATGCATTACTCCACTTTAACCATCCAACTTTAATTCTACTAATAATATCCCCATCTCTATTTCACCATTATTTTGAACAATAGACCCGAGATATCTAAAACTAGTACTTTTTTTAATGATTTGATCTCCCAAAGTCACAATCACCCACTAAATCTATCACTACTAAAATTATATATACTGCCTATATTCAGTTTTAGATATACTCAAACAAAAACCTTTAGACTCTAAGTTTGACTTCCATAATTCAAATTTTCTTTCAACTCCCTCTCTAATCTTATCAACAAGAAGAATATCTTTATCCAGGATCCTCCCAACCAATCTCAAAATAAAGCCTACATTTTTTTTCAATCCCATTTTTCATCCATTTTGCTCTAAATCCTGTATTTAGTAAATCTTGTAGTTCGTTGGATTTACAAGATTTAGAAGAACACATATGCGCACATCTTTGCCTTCGCCAGTGAGCTCCCATTGGAACATCTTCCCTTCTTTTTCATTGAGGATTCCTTGCTTCTTTTTTTATCGTTGAGGGTTTAATTGGTATAGGAGCTCCCGTCACCACTTCTTCGCTTCTTCTTCTTTGAGAGCTCCCATCGTTGCTTCTTTGCTTTTGCTTCATTGGTTTTAGGCAGGCACGGAAAGGGGGAGGAGAAATATGTGGGTTTCAGTTAATTTAGTTAAATAAAATTTTGAAATTATTTTTTATAATTGATATTAATTAATTTAAAAGATAATTATTTAAAGTAATTAATATTATTTATTTTAACTTGATTAAATAAAATTTCCTATATTCAATTAATGTTATAAATTATTAATTAATGATTAATTGAAATACTATGGTATGCTAATTATAATTTAAGCTGTGTAATTAAAATTGATAAAAAAATACTAGTTAAAACTATTAATATTTAATCAAATAATTTAGGTATACATACATTAATTTATAAAATTAAATCAAGTTTTTGGTTAATATTCGCAAATTAAAATTATATTAACTTAAGTAAATTGATATTATTTTTATTTAATTTGATTATATAGAAATTGTTGTTTAATTAACTTAGCAAATTATAAAGTAATGATTAACTTAGATGTTATCTTATGCTAATTATGATTTAAATAATCTAAGATTTGCATATGATTAGTTAATATAATAAAACATCACAATCATTTAAATCCTTAAATTCTGAAATAAGTTGCCAAATAGCTTCTTAGGATTTAATTGAATTTAACCCCTACCATGCGAAACAAATTTCAGAATTTAATAAATCCTGATTTGCAGGATTTGCTAAATCCTACTTGTGACTAGACAGCATCATTATTTTTGCTAATTGAACTCACTAATTTGTGGCACTCAAAATCATTGTATGCAGACTTTTTTTTTAATCATCAACTGACGAAGGTCATTTACCTCTACAGACTCTATCGGGCTCTGCCATAACTGGTGCCATGATATACAGTTTAATTTATGCTGTCGAAACTGATCCAGGAACAACATATGGTCGCTTGCTCAGTAACATGCGCTCTGTCATTCGTGGGGCAGATGCTTTTGTCGGGTTCAGCGGTCCAGTAGCCTCTTTTTTGAAAAGAGTGCTCAGTTATGGAATCAAACAGGTATCTTATTTCCTTAAACTACACAAAAAATGCCTGAACACTCCTATCAAAAAATTCTTGAGAAGATAATTCTTCCAAACTTTGGCAAAACATATCGCTGAAGTTTGCAATATTTTTTTAAAAAAATTTATATTAGGTTCAGTTAGCATTTAATGTTTTGTTGATTAGATCATCCAAGGATGTTTTACTGATGCATTGAACCACCAAAGTGAGTTTCTGTTTCTTGATATAGAGTTGTGAATGCTATTTGATGATGAATTATTGTGGACTAAGATCCTAAGGTCATGTAGGCTTTGTTTGAGATAGCTTTTCTAGTATTTTTTGAAGCAGTTTTCTAGTAAAAATTTTCAAATTCAAAAAATTTTATACTAAAAAATGCTTCATAAAACAGTAAGAAAGCTTTCCCAAACGAAACCGTAATCTCCATGCATTGCTTTCACAGTTGCACGCAAGTAAAATCTCTATTATACCTGTTTTCTTTGTCTTCTCTTTTTTCTTTTTGGATGTTTTCTTCATCATATTTTATGATGTGATGCCATTATCCGCAGATGATTATGACCATAATCATCTTCTTTGCTTTCATCATTAGCAGAATCAACAGCCTTTTCTGATGAATATTTTTGTTTGTTTTGTGAACCCTCCATTATCATTCATACTAGATGAAGTACCAAATTACTGATGTGCAAAATACTGATTCGAGGTTTGTTTGCATAACACAAAAGACTGGCTGATAAAAATCTCTTTCATTTTTCAGGAACCTCAGCTGTCAGCTTCTGAAATCTTCGACATTTATCGGAAGCCTTTTCTCCTTTAAAAGAAGTAATTCATTGTTGTGGCTGTCATTATTATTTACATATATGCTTGCTCACTGCAAAATACTACCCCCATCAGCAAAAAGGTTATCGATGCTATTTTAGAATTTCAGTTTTTGAGTGATATTATGCTGGTACACATGTTTGCTTGAACTATTTATGAAATTCGCATCACAGGATATGGGTAGAGTTGGGGTAGAATGTTCTTACCTTTTATTTAATCAACGCCTGATGGCTTTCATGAATGCTTCTGCTGATGATCAAAGGAAAAGTAAATTATTCATCATTTTAGTTAGAGCTTCTCTTTTTTAAAGTACTTCTTGGTTATGGTGTTCAATCAGTTTAGTTGATCAAAATTTTTGTCAAGATTTTGAGATCAGTTTATGCCTACATTAAATTTCTACTTCGGCACTCAACTCTCCTAAAGAAAAAAATACTTCTTGGCACTAAGGCATGATTGTTGGGTTTTAGCATGATTTTGGTCGTAGGAAGATTTAATAGTTGACAAGGGTTTGCATTATTTGTTTTTGTTTGAACTAAAAAAATAATTTAGTTGAATTGATGGATCATCGAACAAACACAAGTTGGTTGATTTAGTATTATATAAGTTGGATTTGGATACTCTAGTTCTCATCTAATATAAGAATCAAATGACATGCTGAAATTTTTTGGAGAATAAATGCTTGAGATGATTCCCAAGAGAGTTACGTGGCAAACTTATAAGTAACCGGTGGGATTCGACCAGCACGGTCAGGTTGCGGAGTCAAAGGTCAGCGCCCTCGGAACAAATTTTGGTTGTAAGGATATTTTTGGAATTCAAATTAATAAATAAAATGATAAATTCTCTTTACAATTTCTCTTTGTATTTGGTTCATTGTTCTCTAATAATAAGACATCTACAAAATGTGTTTAATTATGTTGGGGACAATTATTTATTTTAAAACTTTTGGTTTGGGGGGGGGGGGGGGGGGGGGGGAAGGGCAATTGCCTAAAAATTCTTGTAATAAATACTAAAAAATAGATGGAGGATGGCAAATTACCTAAATAATCATATAATAACCCTTCATATAAATAGGTTTTTTTTTTTTTTTTCTTTTTTGGGTGGGGGGGGGGGGGGGGGGGGGTGGGGGTGGGGGGGGGGCGGGGGGGGGGGGGGGGGGGGGGGGGGGGGGCGGGGGGGGGGGGGGGGGGGGGGGGGTGGGGGGGGGGGGGGGGGGGGGGGGGGGGGGGGGGGCTGGGAGGCCCGGCCCCCCGGGCCGGCGGGGCGGGGGCGGGCCGCCGCTAGTGTTGTGTTTATATAAAAAGTATTTTAATTTTTTAGTTGGTGTCATTGCCCCACTCACCAAAAAGGGGTTCCTGCCGGCCTGCTATGGGTGGTCTCGGAATCAACATTCTTTTTTTGGTGTAGATTTTTTTTTAATCGAAGAAAGTGAAAATCGATTGATTTAGTGAATTTAGCCACCCTAAACTAAAATAAAGATTTTTGTTTTTAAAATTCGGCGTCTTAGTCTGAAGATGCGAGGCACTTTAAAAAAAAGAAAATGAGTATGAAAAGTTGGTTAGATCGTGAATGATAATTCCAATTGAGATGATGGGAAATCGCTTTAAAGTGAGGAATTTCTTGGCTAATACTAAAATTTTAATACTGTTTTGGATAAGACTAAAAGATGCCAGATTAGTGTAGAATGGTGTGGTTATTCTTATTTTTAAGAATAGGTGCATGCAACAGAGTGTGCGAATTATGAGGAATAATGTTAATCTCTGGCTGATTAGGTTTTTCCGTGTCATACTTTAAAACTTATTGGGAGCGTGTTATGGAGCGTGAGGTGCGGGGCGTGATATAATGTTTCTTCAAATCAATTTGGATTCATGCGGGTAGTCTATATGGAAGTGTTCATACATATATTGAGAAGGGTGTGCCACACTTTTTGGATGGAGAAATATAAGAGTATAAGGAGGCAGTCTACATATGAATATTTATTGATTTAGAGAAAAGCATGTGGATTGCAAGTTTCAAGAGAAGTGCTATGGAAATTCTTGAGAAAAGGAAAAGGAAGTTAATAAATGTTATATTCACAATCATTAAAGATATGTATGCAGGAGCTAGTTATTGTGCTCAAAACACAAGGTGGTTTGTGACCGAAGTATTTTCTCTATCTTCGGTTGGAATTACATCAGGATCAACTTAAGTCCATTCTCTTTTTGCTTTAAGTTGCATGGATGTTCTTCACTGAGAATGCAGAGGGGATGTACCCGGGCGCGGCGCCGAGCCTGTTGGGTTGGTATGCTTTTTGTTGATACGATATTCTTCTTATTGATAAGACTCATCAGAAGAGGGGAGTTTGAAGGTAAACTTGAAGTTTTAAAAATGGAGGTCAACTCTTATGATCTAAAAGGTTTGGCTTCGAGTAGATTTAAAAGCTAGAATATATAGGAGTGTAAGTATGTTAGTGGGCCAATATTCCAGTAGTGAGGGGATTTGGTGACTTTTGGGCGTCAGTTATTAATAAGAGTAAACACGTTTTAGATGCTCTTAAAAATCTTGTTCAGTGTGGCGAGTGAATGGTTGAATATCAGATAGATGGTGATTATTATCAGCAGAATTCAAGTTGGTTGGTTCGAAGTGGAGGAATGCATCAGGGCTTGAATGTGGCGGATAGAAAAGTCCCCTCAACTTGAAGCGAAATTGTATAGATGGTGGTGTGAGACCTGCAATGCTTTATGGTTCTGAATGTTTGGCCATAAAAGAGAGAGAGACATATATAAGGTTATAGCGCGTTGCAGAGATGAGGTCTTAGGTGGTGTGTGGCTTTTAACACCCCGTTTAGAGATACGGATATCAGGAAGATGAAAGCATATCGTAGATAAGGTTGGAGTTAGCTCCAGTGGAAGTTAGATTAGAGAGAGTGTTGTTTTAAGCTTAGATGGTTTGGGTCACATTAAACGAGGCTGGTTTCGCTGATGACCTGATTAGGAAAGTTGAGGTATTAGATTTGACTTATGGTTAAAGAAAGGTGAAGTTAAGACCTAGAAGACTGGTTAGAAAAAAATATTAGAAATGATCATTTTTTTATTAAGATTAAAATGAAATTTCTTTTTTTAAACGTGCGCAACAGAAATGGCGAAAGGGATCATGGTGCGCGGACCCGAACGTAGTGGGGCACAAAAGGCTTGATGTTTGTTGTTGTTGTTGTGACACAAGGTTCTCCCTAGATATATGTGCTGTCATAGAAACGGGGAGAGTGTTGATTTTTCTCGATCATTTAAATTGTACATAGTTAGAGACCTTTCTTTTTTGGTGGAAACCTAACGGGAGGGTGAGGCTTCATAGTAGATAGAGACTTCTTTTTCCTCTTTTATATGTTAGTACTTAATTTCTTGAGCTTAGAAATAGTTGTTCTCTTTCCTTCAATAATAATATTCAGGTAATTCCTTTTTTCAAGAGACTCCGTTTGCCTTGTTATATTGTTTGATGAATTTCTTTTGTTCCCTCAGTAACGGTTTCAAAATCAAGTTGGCTATCATATTTGGTTTTGGAGAAATTCTTGGTGTAAATGATGTTAACAAAAAAATGTCTCAAATAGTTGGAGAATCGCTCTTCGCCTTGCCCCTAGGATCACTGTCAAGACAGAAAGAAGGAAAGAATTTTTGTAATGCTTTTAAGCATAAGAAGGTGAAACCTTATAGGTGACTTGGTTTACTCAAGTTTTGGCTCCTTTACACATAGATGTATGTAAATGATGGAAATCGGTAGTAAGTAGACTCAAAGTGGTTGATGAAGAAAACGATATGCAAGGAAGATCAAACTTGATGAAGTGCATCGATGCAGTAAAATGTAGTGCCCGAGACTATAATGTTTAAATGTATGCATAGAATGCATACGATTTTTCCGAAATAAAACAATTAAGTTAAAATTATTTTGAAATGAGCTGTGAACACGAAGACAGTTGAGCGCTCGGCTTCAATTTATTCTGCACATGAAACATCAACAAAATACTTCACACGCGCTCGTAAAAAAAAATTGACAAGACTAGTTATCTTTTGAGTCATGATAGTGCGGGGAGTGGGTACCATTAAATAATAAGTCTAATATATAACTTTGAGTAAAAAAAAATATTCCTAATGCATTTTCTTTCTGGCATGTCTCAATAAATTAAGAATTGGAAAGGGGTGCAAAGCATGTTGCTAAACTCCAAAATTTAAAAAAAAAGATTTTTTTGAAGTTTTTCGAACACTATTACATATAAAGACCAGCTGAAGAATCTATTAATTCTCGTCCAGTCAGAGCTTAAGCGCAAGCCCCCAAGACCAGACAAGAGAGATTGCATTTGGGGTGAATGTATGCCAAGGACCACAAGTGAAAATGTGATAGAAACTTCACGAAAAAACATTGATGCAAACATATTCGAAAGCGATTATAAAGATGCCTTTCACCCTAATTTTCCTATTATATCAACTCGCACCCAAAAAAGATCTCGAATTCAAAATTAATAGTGATTAACAGCTTATTTGTTATGAATCTGAGTACTATTTGAATTGACTCTTTGCCGCTTTTGTCTAAATTGGTTTTTGCGCAATGGTTCCAAATATCTCTTCTTAACAACGTTTTGTTTTATGTTTAGTAGAAGCGAAATAATGGCAACTGTGAAGTTCTTATCACAAGGTCTATGAATCGAGAAGAAGGATTGATAGTTCTTATGAGGTTAGATGATTTGCAACCAGTGGCAAGTTTGAATGAAGATTCTAAATTGGTAGTGCCCCGTTTTTTTCTTAAGCTATCCAACAAATGCATATTTCTACTCTAAAAAAAAAAGAAACAAGGTACTCAAATGTATTTTCTAGTAGTATATAGGTAAGCATCATAATTTAAGGATTCCCCGGATTAAGCCATTATTGACTGTAGAGGTTTCATTAGAAAAGGAGATTCCAACTCAACACTAAAAGGCACTCGATGTTTAGAGTTAAGCTTATTTAAGCTGTAAGGGGTTTCACTAATCTCCCCCATTAAGTACTAACTGTACCTTATTTAGTATCTTTAATCCCTAATCATCTATCAGGTATATAGAATTAAGAGGTGTGTATCTGCTTGTGGGCCCTTCAAAAAAAAAACAAGTTCAATAGTAGTGACTCCAACACGTAACACTTTTCACTCTTGGAGTGATTGCGGTGGCGTGAGTTATCCACTTATTTGTAGTACACTAAGAGTTCCTATTTTTCGATATATTGCTCTTGATACCATTTTAACAATCCAAACTTTATTATGAGAATATTGTCTGTTTTGGTCGAAAGGCATCA